GAAAGTAGAATTTTGTTTTTTAATCTGCACAATCAATATTTTTGTCCAGCAGCACATAAACCACTTTGGTAAGGAGCCTGTCCATGTGATGCTCCCCGTGGCTGCAGCTTTACACACCGAAAGCCAACGTGTTCAGCCAAACCACAAACCACTGGTTCACATTCACCGACTCGGTCACCAGTCCGAGGGGGGAAAAAATGAAGCAATAAATAAAATAACCGCTATCTCATTTCTTTCATTTTGTGAAAAGGCGCAGATCTTCTCATGAGTATGTGTAATTATTTCCCTCTCCGGCTCTGCGTTGTCATTGGGGACCGAGGCTGTCGAGTCGCTGCCAATATAGTCATAGTCAGTGTTATGCAACGGCTAATTACTTCCACTCGCCCCGACAAAACCATGGAGAGGGAGAGAGAAAGAGAGGGTAGGGGAAAAGAGAAGGATGAAATAAAACAGACAGAGGAGAGACGGCCAGAGAGGGGGACGAGTAAGAGGAAAGTCAGAAGGGAAGAAAGAGGGAGAGAGAAAGGAGAACAGAGAAAGTAAAGGACAGAAAGAAATGGAGACAGACGGGGAAGGAGAGTCAAATACTCCTCATCTTCTTTCTCTCCCGCAGTGTTTTGGTAAAGAAAAAAATCTACATCAAACCATAATGACCTCTTCACCATGCTGTACAACAGTTTCAGGAAATCATGCAGGAGCGGCCGAATAAGGTCCAAAGAGAGAGAAAGAGAGAAATGTGGAAGACTAGTGTGGTCAAAGCCAGACAGGGCCCGCAGCCCTTTTCCTCTCCAACAATTTTTGGAGATGATGTCATTATTCATAAAAAAAAAAATAGAAAAAGAAAAATGTGTCTGCGCCTCCGGCTCAACTAGAGCAAATGTAGGGGAAGGTGGGAGTGGAAGGAGGGAAGTCAGGGAAAGGGAGAGATGTAGAGATGAATACATAGACGCACAAAAAAAGAAACAGGAGAGTCGGACCAGGACAAAAATAACTAATGGAAAGGAAAGAAATATGACATAAATAGGGAGGGGTAAACTACCTCAATTCATACTTTTACACCTCAATTTACTCTCATTTTTGGGTGAATAAAATCTCTTTGATATGAGCAAAATTTAGAATGAAAGCAGCATCTCAAAATTTAGAATGAAAGCAGCATCCTGGCAGTCAAAGATGCACCATGTAAGGAATAATAACTAGATATTGAATAGTAAGCTTTAGAGGTGCTGGTATGCAGACTTTTGTTTTCATTTGACAGAGCCAGGCTTTGTGTTTACCCCCTGCTTCCAGTCTTTGTAAATATGAGTGAAATTAAATTCTCATCTAAATATTAAAAAAAAGCTGAAAAAAAGATTTCCCAAAGTGTCAAATTTTTGTTTTAACGTTCTATCACGTTTCTATGGCTTTTCTTTCCCTGTCCAATAAAGAACAAATTTATTAAAATGGAGTTTTGAGAGAGATTTTAGGCACAAACACCTCCTACACAAATCACTTTGCACCATTGTAAGCATTGCCCTAAGTACAGTAATTACAAGGTATTACTGACCTAGCTCTAGCTAGCTGGACAGGACAAGGGATTACTGTGCTAATTAAACCTCACAAAATAATACTTAAATTCTTAATTACTCATCTTTTTCAACTTTTTTCCATATGAAACAATATGAAATACAGATTTAATGTTGTATTGTAAGTTTTGTACTTTTTTCTCAGGAAGAAGACAGTCAGACTGTAGTTGCTGCACTCTGGCTTTGCACTACCTATATATCTGTTTATGGTAACACAAAGACAGAGTGCAGTATCTGCATTTTTGGGGTCATAGGTAAAGTAATTGGTCATGGTTTTTAAGTCAGAAAAATTACTTGGAGAATACATATTTAATAAGCACAGACCCACTGTTCTACATAAAACACATTTGGCTGGTCAGTCAAAAGACTTTGAAGCCATTTTTCTGAATTTCATTGTTAGTGTAGTTACTGTGGTTGACTTTGTAGGGCAGCATAACTGAGAGTCATTCCAACCTTAACCCAAATCCAACCTTGCAGCACTGCGCACAGCTCTGATTTTATGCCACAGCAATGCCCCAAAGGTCTGTATCACAGAGATTCTCCCAACGCTTTCCCCCAATCCTTCCAAGGTTCAGTTGCTTTAAATTACTCTGTTCTCTGCTAGACGACATATACTTTTAGAGCAGATATCTAAACATCCTGTCATAACTCAATGGATCAAATCCACTGCTAAATGTACACCCATGAAGGCCATTCAGCTTTTTTTTGGATGGACAAGCTGATTCGGGAATTTCACAACCAACAAGGTGACAGCGTCCTGTAACCATTACATGAAAGCGACCAAAGAAGGATGAAAAGCTCAGTCTTTGTTTTATTGTACCCAGAAGTACACAAAGCCACTTCAAAACCAGATATATCTACTGCCGGACACAGATATATCAGTATATGACAAAAGAAGCTAGGAAGCTTTTAGATAATTTTTAGTAGTAGTTAGAAAGTTTTGTAGCACGGGTTTATGCTTAATGTATGACTGAATCCAGAAAACTGGAATATTTTTCCTCGTTGAGCTCATTACTTGCTTGTAGACATTTTTTTATTACCAAATGCTAAAAAGGCATCACTTCCTGTGTGGGATAAAGGTTTCCTACCACTAATTCTGGCCGACCACAGGGGCTTGTATGGGTAAAACCAAGGAAGTCGCAAGCATCGCTGGTAATTTCAGCCCAAACATATCAAGCAAGGAGAGGAAAAGCAATAGGCAGACAGAGAAAAGGAGTGACTTCAAGATGACAGATGACAAAAAAAGATGAACAAACTGCAGTCAGAGACTCTGACAGAGCTCAGTCACATGCCCCTCTTCTCCTTTCTCTCCCTATCTATCCATCATCACTCCATTTCAGCATCACAGTATATCACAGCGTCATTTTATCACATCAGATAATATACAAGCCCCCCATTCATCCACCTATCCTTATCTATCTTTGCTATTGCTCTTTCTCTCCCAATCTGCTCATCTGTCTCTCCGCCTTCAATCTGTTGATTCCATACTGTTTGTGTGTGTCACATATGTGTGTCTACTGAGATATTAACCTATTGGACAATGTAAACACTAAGGGCAACACAAATCTTAGAACCATGGAGATGATCAATCATAAAGTCTTTAAATCTATATTATGTATTACCTTTGTCCTCATTAAGAGTCTGAGGAACTCTTTTACTCTTTGGTCTTTGTTGAACTGCACATGTTGCGATTTGTCATTTTTTTCGTCTTTCTATTATGGAAATTCAATTTCTCTTCCCAGGTAAAACTGCTGATGCAAGCCTTTTCACTTGCTAGTCAAATATTAATTTCAGGTTCTCTGGTTTCCTCATAAAGTATGCAATTTCATTTGGCAACACTAGATTTGATTTACGGTTTGTTTGTTTTATTTGAAGTGTTTATTTTATGTTATTGGAGCTGACTGGCGTTTATTTTTATTTTTATTTTTTCAATTGCAGTTGGAGTTGCCAGTCAGTACAGAAAAACAGTTTTCAGTTTTTACAGCACGATCACCAACCCGCTCTTCTTTTTTCTACCATTATGACCCTCAAAATTCAAATAAGCATTTTAAAAAAAAAATGACAAAAAAATGACTCAATGAATGTATTTTTTTGAGTTTTAACTTTCGGTGACCCACTGACTCCACTCAGGTTCTTCAATTGATTGGGAGAAAGGAAGACAAACAGCACAAAATGCGTCCAATAACATGAAACAGTGGAGACAAAGCCTTAAACTCCAGTAGAGAGTAGAAACAAGAGATGCTTTAACTCTGACAAGTGGAAAACATTTACCACAGTATTCAACTTCATGGTCAGCAGTTTTTTGGCCGTTTCATATCCATCAAAAATGTTTTGTTTTGTTTCGTATACTTGTCTTTTGTCTGTGAGAGCGAGCTCGCTCTGCATCTGGATTTCTTGAGGCAGGCACAAAAAAAAAATGGTCATGGATACAGAACATTTGACCAAATCTCACGTGACTGGATAATTATTCTGTCTTCCAAAGAGAATTGGTTGTGTGTGTGTGTGTGTGTGTGTGTGTGTGTGTGCGTGTGGCCTCCCAGTATGACATGTCTGTCTAACAGGCATTACCAGGCAGTCTGAGCATTTTCATTAGTTCCTAGAATGCCAAACAAACCACATGGGTATGTGAAGCAGCTGCAGTAGTACTAGAGAGCCACAACAACCTACTGGGGCAAGAGAGAGAGAGAGAGAATATAAGTGGGTCGAAGTGTATGCCTGCACACATCTGCCTACCAGCTTCTGTATGTGTGTGTGTGTTTGTGTGTGTGTGTGTGTGTGTGTGTGTGTGTGTATGTGTGTGTTTCATTGCCTGCACATGCATCCAAACCAGCTTCCCAAAGTGTGTGTGTGTGTGTGTTTGTGTACGAATTAGTCAGAGAGCAGGAAGCTGAGGGTCTCAGTTTGTGTCCTTGTAGAGTTTTCTGCATGTAGATGTGTGTGTGTGCATGTATTCCATTGACAAATATGCAAAGCTAACAAGTGTAATTACATGGTTCCCACACTTTTTATTGCAATCCAATGCCAAATTTTTCCTCAACATTTCCAAAACGTTCATGAATGTACAACAGCTGTGTAACTTAAAACACTTCTGGTATGTCAGCCGATCATTTTGTTGCATTTTTTGAAAATGACTGAAGTAAATGGAATTTTCAAGGTTGTATCAACTTTGTACCACAATCACTGACATTTCGGCAATTTTCCAAAACAACCATTAGTCATCAACAAAAGTTCAAATCTCTTTTAAGATCTTTGTGACCGTGGAAACTGCCAGTGTGTTTAGATGGTGGCATAATGTCAATGCCAGAGGCTGAACTGGTATTGAATCACTATTAAACAGTTACAATACGGTTAAATTCTTCATTTACTTGATATTAACCTCTTGCATGAGTTGATGGCTGTTTGTGTGTGCATGTGTTATGTGTTCGGTGCGTGTCCTACCTGACCACAGGCTCTGGTATGGCCTCAAGGCTGGCAGGGACCTGTACCCCCTTCTCCCATTCTTGTCTCCATGGGTCAGAGAGCACGTAGAAGTCGTCCGGGCCGAGCTGAGCCGAGTCCGGCAGCTTCATGGCCGTGATGAAGTCGGTACGAAATACCTGCACAGAGAGCAAGGCAGGAGGGAGGGGAGAGGAAGGAAGAAAAGTTTGGTTATATGTCAAGAACAGTGAAGATATCAACATGCTAAGAAGGAAGGTGAAGCTTACTGTTAACTGTTGGCCTGATTAAAAAAAGCAACCATAAACAACTTTCATACTCTTTTTGTGGTTCATTATTTATGAAGATGTTTTGTTTTTAATGATTCATTTTAGCCTGCATATTGGCGAGCTGGCTAATTGGAGTCTTGAAACAGTATTGCCTGTTTCTTTCAGCAATAAACACATTTTAATTGTCTATCCCCATGCGTCAGGTTTAAATTATTTTGATATGAGCATCAACAAAGGTATAGCCACATGTTAACGACACAAAATTGTGTATTGCAATCCATACTGTCTTCATACAGTTGTACAAACAATATCAACATTAGCTTCTGGTAAAGGACAATGCTTGTAATTTAAACAGAAAGCTCAATCAATTAAAGTGACTCCTGTCTGTCATACAGTGCATTCAGTGCAGCGGCCCAGGCCCACGTGAGAACTCTTAAGGCGGACAGCTGCAGTAGTGCCGGTTTTCCCACAACCAATATTAATTTTCATAATCGAATGTCAGATTTGTTTTGCAATTCGATTATATAATCAAGTTAAGAATATTGGTTGACAACCCTAATGCGCATGTAGGAGGGTCCTATAAAAACAAACAAGGTGTGCGTGATGCAGTGTTTTCAAGACCTGAGGGAGTGGGTGTATTCAAGCAGACACAATCATTCTCACACATAATGTGAACACACAAACCTACACAGACACAACACGCACATACAGTCTCTCTCTCTCTCTCTC